AAGTCGCCCCAGCATCTCAGTTCAGCCGGGGAACCCACTGCCCTGCTCCCAGGGAGGGGCTGATGGAAGCAGGAGTCTTCACAGGCAACTCCTTGGGTCTGGAGAGGGAGTGTCTGAGGCAGAGCTTGTGAAAAACAGCATAAAAAGGATATTTGGTCTGTGGAAATCTTCCTTTGGGATTTGAGAGGCGTAGACTGTGGGGCCAAAAGAACAACGGAGATGTTCAAGGTGGTGGGAAATATATTAGAAAGAGCTTTCTAGAAATAAATTTCAGTTCACATGCATCAAAGAAAGTTCTGGTCACTTACTTATCATTTCTGTATTCCCCGTTTCTATGGATCTGATTTTCCAGGGTGAAATTAAAGGTGAAGTGTGACACTTCTTCCTCATCAAAGATCTTCATTCGGGATTCATATGCCTCTTCTTGGAGATACCGGATCATATCAGGGAACCAGACAATGAGGCCATAGTAACTGTAGTAGGATGGGAGACATACATTAGGGATACAAGATACTGGTACTGCAAATATTGCAGTGTTTTTTCCAATTATATGCTTCATGCCAGGTAAACTTGTTAAGATCCTAATGCAAATGCATTTCTGATACAAACTCTTGCTTAGCTCTGACACAGGACCGAGCAAAGCATCTCCCCACTCTAAACACTCAGCTGATTTCAGAAGCACGTTGAGTTAAATAAGTACCTTACCTTAAGGCCATTGTAAACCAAACCACAGCCAGCATCAGTGTGTTCATCCTGTACTGGGCTGTTAAACAATATAGCACATTGTCCCAGACCTACAAATCCACAAGAAAGAATTAGCTGCAAGGACAACCTAGCAGATACTTTCTGAGTGCATCATAAATCTACTGTCAGTAAAAAGGGCTCACTGGGGAGAAGTAGGATGTGTAGCTCACGGTCAGTGTTTGTTCAGAATTACATTTCTCAAGATAAATGGCTTACAAAAAGATCACTTAGCTATGTGCCAGGGTGCTTGATCTGAACCCTCTGTATTGAGCTGGAGTGCATGACTAGGGCTGAGCTGGGATGACGCAGTGTCTCTCTCAGGTTTTATCATGTGAATATAATGTGGATATGAGCCTGTTCTCAAACCCTCTGACAAATTTCTCTTCCAAATACATGTATGGTCTCAGTGGAGCTTTCAAATCAAGCTCCTAACTCATTGAAGAGCAAAAACCTAAACACAGCTGGCCCTTTAGGAGGGGTAAGATGAACTCAGACAGGATGAAGCCAAGTAGAGCAGGAGGTAGACCAAGAATTTCTCTTCTTGACCTGTTGCAGAAAATACTGCTAAGAACATATGGGGATGCAACGCATGCTCTTAAGTTGCCACTTAAGTACAGTAATAGTACAGCACTTGTATTGCTATTAAATAAGAAAGACTTTCCTTTACTTTAAGCTCATCCTCCTAGACTAGAAGATCTAGCAAGATTTTCCATCATGGGTGTAGGTAAGCAGCATAGCATGTGTGATAGGTTAAATTAGCAGAAGAGACAATATAACCTTGTTAGAAACTCAGGCTCAGCCGGAACAAGGTGCAAACACTCTTCTGAATCAACTGCAGGTGGTAAATTCACTTAGGCTTGGGGTAGATGAAATCAATATTTATCTGCTCAGAAGAAGAGTCAAGTGCTTGGGGCTTGTCCTGGAAGCTCTGCACAGCAGGACTACTGTGATGCTCACAAGGGTATTTTGGGCCCTGGCTGGCAGTTTGCAGATGCACACATCTGCATAGAAAGTGTAATCAGATTAAAGCCCTTTGCAAACACCAGCAGATTTTTTTGAGCGAGAATCAGGGTTTCAAGACACAATGACCTGGAGCAACAAGGCACTAGAGCCTCAAGAAGCTCAAAAGCCCTTGTGAGATGATTTTTCTTCTTTACCTGTTTAAAAATAGTTGAGATTCTGACCATCCACCTCTGGTACCAGGTCCCTGTTGAGCTTTGGATTTCAATAAATTCATCCACTTGCTTTGGAGTTTTGATATAGGAAACCTGGGGAGGGGAGAGAAGGGGGAAGAGAAAGGAAAAATTGGTCTAAACTTTCTAGAATTGATCTTGGGTGGATTTTAAACCCCACTGGCCTTTGGGCAATGTTTCCACTCGATATCCCTTACTATCTTTTCCTTGAACGCTACCACTAACAAATGAGCTAACTGATGCAATTACAACAAGAAACTTTATTACAGAAATAAGCCTACCTTCCTTCCTTCCTTTCATTTATCCCTACATCCTTTCTCTCTCCTTCCATGAAAGATTTTCAGTGCATCACATCCACTTCAATCTTTCATTTATTGGGTAATGTGTTTGTGTGCTACCTTATTTCTCTATGCTTTAGATTGTCACTAGAAATTAGGACTAGGCAATTACAGTAGAAGTTATCTCCAAGATCAGTCACTTGTATTTGCAACTAACTGTGCCCTCAGGATCTTTTTAAAGACAACTGGCAGGAATGTTTCTCATTCAGCACCTTGTAAGTACCACTGGCAGAACTGCTATGACAAATGAATGTGTAGATGGGAATCTTTGCATCTGAAAATGCATCCTGTCATCAAGTGAGCCCACACCATGCAATCAATTCACTTCACTAAAAGAGCCTGAATTTTCAACACCGAGCCCCTGAGCTGGACTGTTCAAGAAACTTTAAAAATAGGCCCCAGAAAATATTTGCTCAGTAACTTTAAATGAAGGACATAGTCAAGGAAAACAGATCTGTTAGTAAACATGAGAAGGAGGTGAAAAGTTACGAACTAAATCTCTGAGTATGAATGAGTGCCTTGGCTCAGCTCTTCCTCTTGCTGGCACCTTTTAAATGTCAGATCTGGGAAGTGTCCCGGTACCAGCTGACTCACCACAAACTGACAACTTCTGGCCAATCAGAAAAACATGGAATCTGGCAGTTTGTGCTACACCAGCCGCACGGATTGCCTGCCCATGCCAGAGGATGACAGCACATCTTGATTCAGCCAGCGCGCCATGCCTCGAGGTGTGATACTGAGATCTGCTCATGCTGCAGCAGTCACGACACTGTTGGATGGAGTAATGAGCACTAATGGGTGTTGTACAGCTGCTCCTTCTTTCTCCTACTCAGCTCAGGCTCTCATAGTGCCATACTTTGAGACATAGAGATATATATACACACACACACATACAGATTTGAATTTCAGTCGTCTTTTCCTCCCACCATGCAGCAGGACTGGCCAGCCCAGCTCAGCGTTATAACAGAGCCAAGCAGGGATTTAAACAGAAGTTTTCTCTCTGCAGTCAAGGCTCACATTAGTCAAATGGCTGGTAGCCTAAAAACAACCCATGCTCACTAAGTTCCTCCCTGAACCTGCACACAATTGTCATGCACAGATATTAGACTTCCATTTTCTTGAAGGATCACTCCTAAGGAGCCCTGTTCCATGACAATCCTTTTGAGCATGGAGCCCTGCTCTCCTTGCTAAAAAAGACATTTTACACACAATCATATCGCCTTTTCTCCATCCTTATAAAATTCTCTCATCTTTAAAAGCATAAATCAAGAGCTATTCCCTGCTTGGCTCACTGGGAACTTACAACTGAATTACAGTAATTTGCACCTAACCCCAGCACACACCTTTTACCTGATTTTACTATTAACAAAGTCCGCTGGTGTGACCTTTTTCACAACAAGCAGCAGACTAATGAGTAATAGCCACTCATCTCACTTTCCCTTGGAAAAGTTAAAGATTGGCTATGAGGCAGGTGAGGTCTGGGAAGCTCATTAGAAGGTGAGTGAAGTTTAATCAGAGTTTGATTAGAAGCCAGAATGGAGAAAGGAGTGACTCAGATCTCCCACATGACTAAAATCTCTGTTATTTGGTTTTAGTCTCTTAAAACAGACTAATTACCTGTGTGTGTAATTGGAAATTCACTGGTCTCTATGCTATAGAGTAACACCAGGAATAAAGAGTACTCACTGCAATTCACAGGATTGACTAATGCTTGAAAGAAACAGACGGACATCTAACTTTAAATTCATAAAGTGTATCTCAAAGTCCTTTTCCTGATTGCTGGGGGAGGTTGCATTAAAGGAGTCTTAAGGAAGAATAAACTGGTGCTGTGTTACACTGAGGAAGATATGTCCAGCTTCTACATACTGATGGCTTTATTAAACTCACCGTAAACACCCTCTCTGGCTCACCCTTGGCCCGCATGTTAGTGTCATGAACTTGCTTGAGGATCATCCAGGCTTCATCATGTTTACCTATCTGAAAGCACCAAAGAAAGGAAAACAGATGTTGGAGTTCCCAATAGGTTGCATTCACAGAGTACAGACTCTCTGTGCTGAAGAAAGCGGTTACCCTAAAACTGGCTGAGGTAGGAAAGCAGTCAGGAATGGAGTTTTGAAACCAGATAAAAGGAGATGGAGGAGGAGATTTAGGGCTCAATCACACCTCTGCTAAAGACTTGCAGGGTTAACTTGAGCTAGGTATTGCCACATTTCACATCTGTGAAATGGGAATAAATAATACTTGCTGAAGATTTCTGAGATTTATATGTTTTACTGAGTAAAATGGACTCTGTCCTTTGCTTTTCCACCAGGATTCAGTAGTTACTTACCCAAACTCTGTGAGATGTTTTCAAAATGCCTTTATTGGACTTACAAAATTCCTAGCCCTCACCTCCTTCTTTCTCTACCACATTTGGCAGTAAACCACTAACCATTGTGACTGACCCCGTAGCCTGTTATCTTTGGGGTTTAAGCAATCTGTGGAGCTAGTGTAGACCCTTTTGCCTCTGAGTTTGTGCTATGCATGTTTGAAGGAACAAAGACAGACAGAGGGTGACGCATTAGGGACCAGCTATCCTCTGCTGGTAACAGACTGCCACGTTCAGATGAATCATCTTACCTCCAGCAAAAACCGCGGGCTTTCAGGCATGAATTTGAGTGCCACCAGGGAAGCAATACAGGGCAGAGAGCAGACAAGCACAAAGAACCTCCAGCTGTGGAAGTGGTACTTGGTTCCCATACTGAACCCCCACCCTGGAAACAGAAAGTAAAAACATAAGTCATTCTGAGTTTTTCTCTCCTAAAGCAGCTCTGAACTTTATGCCACTGCATGACATGGGGACAGGTTGGAAGTTTGCTATTCTTAGTAATGATGGCTCTTAGAGGTTCAGTAGCATGCTCAGTAGATGACAGCAACTGAGTTCATGTTCATTACAGAAAATGGGACATACTCGCTCAGGCTCTGCCTTTTAAAAACCTTTTATCTTTGAGCTTAGAAATCACCTAGTGATAAGAATAGCTCCATGCAGCTGTAAGTAAGTAAAGCTGGGAAAGGGTGGAGGAATCAGGGCCATAATGTATTCCTTCTCGGTGGTGTTACGAATAGTTTATAAAGGTTAAATCTTCTCTGATCCGAGAGGCATGTTAGAGACAGCTCCTTTCCATCTCCTACATCACACATGTTTTCCACATTCATGGAAGTAAGCTAAGAGATCAAGTTTGGTTTTTTCCACACCTACAAAACCTGAGCTGGGATTCAAACTTAGAAGACCCGATTTCTTAATCCTGCATTTGAGTTTCCCCCTCTCCTGCTTTTTTTCTGATCAGGTCAGCTATTCCCCTACTAAGGACTAGAAAGTACAGCATCATTCTTAAATTGCTCCTTTTATCTTCCTTATTCTCAAATCTTAGAAGGAATGTTTAATTCCATTCTTTTCTATAAACATTTTTATTCACATGCTAAGGAAACCATCAAGCGATATTTTTTGCAGAGGGCTCATCTGAATCAGTATCACAGTGTTCTACTCATTTCACAAAGTTCCAAAATAGTAGGTGGAACATGGGAAATCAAAAAGAGCAGCTATAAAAATACAATACCAAAAACTCATCTGAAGAAGAAACATAATGGAAATACATGAGGGCTTTTTAAAGCAAGTGTAGTTGCAGATAACAGAACTCTTTCAACCTGACACCACTATGCAGGAAGTTTGCCTGTTTGTTCCAACAGTCGCTGTCAAATCAATCAAAAGTATGAACATTTCTTTATGCTGAGTGCACTTTAGACAAGGTAAAAATGTTTGGATAGGTATGTTAGTGTTTTTCTTCATGGTCTTTGTGGCCTGTCCTACTTTCCTCAAACAGGATTTTGCAAACAGCTGGTATCACTGAATACCGAGGGAATTAATCTTTTCCAGTAGATATTTGCTTCTAATGTTTTCCTGGGATATACACAGGAATTACAAGGAATACCACATGACATGTAGATTTTTGCTTTTCAGAGTACCAATGTATTCCATTGTACACTCATCTGCTTCCAGCTCTGGGTCCAGAACCCATTCTGCTCCCAAACCCATTTAGGGGAAGTCAGATATGACTCCAGCCCATCATGTGCTGGGGAGATGTGTTGCCAGATACACAGCCTTGAGATTGTTGACACTTGGCTAAGGAAAAGACTATGTGCTGTCCTCAATGCATTCATTCATAGCACCCACTAATTTCCTGATTAAAGTTACTTATTCTTGATAACTGCAACATTTTTGTAAGCAAATCTCAGTCCAGTTTTCCCTGGGTGCACTGACATTTAGATTAAAAGCTCAGGCTCTGGCAGGATAATTCCAGAGATGTATTGAAAGCTTTTGATGCAAAGCAGCCCTCATCAGTCCTATTTACAGCCTTAGTATCAGTCAATCAATCTGCAGTCAATTTATCAAACCTTTTGTGTGCACTTAAGGTATCTGTTATTTTCAGTGTTGTTTATGCTGGGATGCGTAAGGACTGACTAATGCTACATGCGCAGGGTTTTGGGGTAGCTTAGTGATGCAGGAATGTGGTGTTGTCAAAAATCAGAAGCCCAAAGTAATTACCGTAATGTGGGATGATGCTCCAAGCCATTGCTGAAGCAAAAATGCCACCAATCATCCAGAACATGCAAAGCCAGCTCAGGTGTTCCCCCCTCTTCTCACGAGACAGGAATTCAGAGAAATAGGCAAACACGATGGGGAGGGTACCCCCAATACTGAGGAGAAAAAACAGCACATGGGAAGAGTAAGAGTCTTCTTCAATGTCTTTGTAGGTAGGATTGCACATGTAAAGAGGGAAGGTCACACTCACAGACACGCTGCACATAAGTGGGACTTGTAGGAAAAAGAGTATCCCTCTTTGGCTGGACTGGCCTTAGACAGCAAAGATAAACAAACCTTTTTTAAGGTCTGAAAGCTAAATTTCCTGTACAGTTTATACAAAGCCAGTGTAATGCCCTGCTCTTCACCTAGACACATCTCTGTTGTTATTTTAGGATCACTCGTATTAGAGAGGCAAAATACAGGCTGGCAATGGGAACTACTGAGGGTCTCACTGGAGGCCCTGGCAGTGAAGACTGTAAACTGAGGTGAGCATTTATCAGTCTCACTCACCAAATGCACAATTTGGACCATACCAGAAGAATGTCAATGACCAAACTTTCCTGCCACTAAGGCTTTAAGGTCAAGAGTGAGGTAATGCAACCACATGTGCTAAACAGTAGTGCCATCCCAGTTTGGTACCAGAGATGCATCTCCCGGTAAGATTCCTTCTCCCACCCCACACACCCAGACTACTGAGCCGTGATGAGACTCCTCCAGGACATGGGATAGATTCACCAGTTACCCACCCCAGGCCCGAGATAAGGCGGCAGAAGAGGAAGAATCCATATCCCTGGACGAAGGAGGAAAGGAACGCGAAGGCAGCATTGATTGCAAGTGATATGATGAGGCATTTCTTTCTTCCCAGTTTGTCAGCAAGGCCGCCCAACATGACAGCCCCCACCATCATTCCTAAGTAGACTATCAAGCCTAGAAGTGAGAGAGAGAGAGACAGTGAGTTTGGTAACTGGGTGGAAATAGCATACAATGTAGAAGTAGATTTTAAAGTGCTTGTATGGTAGCTGATGTCGAGCTGCCATACTATGCAATAACATGGAGATACCCCATCCCTCCAAATTACCTATTTCATGTGCCAGAAACTCTATCCATTGGTGGAACCTAGTTTTCCCATCTTGTGCCCATGAGCTTGCATCATGTCCTACTGCACTGCTTCATGCAATACAGACATATCCTCATTTGACTAGACCCACATCTTTCTTTCCCAACCTTGCTGCTCACATATCCCCTGCACGTAAGCAATGGCCACACATAAGCAGCTTAGGATGCACGTGTCCCAGCTATGTGCCACCAACGATACAACAGAAGTCTGGTGTCTTAACCCCACTAACCCCCCTGAGCACAATGGGACTGAGGATGTGTAGGGAGGGGGCTCTCTCTGCCTGATGTTTACGCTCAGAAAGCTGTGAGAGCAGAGAGATTGCTAAAGCATAGCTAACTCTCTTTGCACATTACCTATCCTACCCATGCTTCCTTTGCACTGTGTCATCTTTTCCACTCTCTGTTTTTCCTAGCTTTATCTGAAAGGATCAGTTTGTTACCAAGACTCACCTGTGTAGTACAGCTACTTCCTTTGTTACTGAGCCAAGATCTGGTGTCTAACTGAAAGACAACTTACAGAAGAGAGTACAGTCTTGATCTGAGAATTTCAGGAGAAGGGAGAGTCTATTACTTGTCTTGACAGTTTGCTCTATAGAGCTACTTACTCTACAGGTAAGAAAAATAGATTCATCTTTTTAACTTGGCTTCATTGGATCTTCTACTATGGGGTCCTCAAAAGACCATTTCAGAGACTACATTTGGTGCCAGACTGAGTAGAAAAGAATAGACTCCCTTTACCCAGCTCACTATGTGCTTGTGATTCTGGCCAAGAAAACACAGCTGTTGTCCTTGGCTCTTCTACTGACACTGCCACTGGAAGGGCTACCTGTCATATTGCCTTTTCCTATACATGGGCACCAGTGTAACTAGCACCAACTAATAAAGCTCAAAGGTCCAGGAATACTATTTTTCCCCCATTTATTTTATCTTCTTTCCTGATGTAGAGACTTGGGTGAGCAATAGTCCTAGGAAGAATCACAAGTTATGGTCCTTTTGCTGGCAAAATTCGCACTGAAGCCTGCAGGAGTTATGATGTGAAAGCGCAGCAGGATCAGAAATTAAGCATTTAAAATCTGATAGCAATCAGTGCCGGAGGGCTGGAAATATTGATCAGCTAGAGTGAAATGATTTGTACTGCTGTTAAGGAATAACATCTGGGAATTGATCAGTGCAGCAGCTGGCAGCACATGGACCAGGTCTTTGAAGGCTGTGTTGGCCTCTGGGATTCAGATTTTTGTCTTAGCCTTGTCTGCGAACAAATCTCTGTTTGTTCCTTTGAGCCAGGAAAGATGTAAGGATAGAAGGGCTCAGGCAGGATCATGTGTCTCCAAGGCTCCTCTGAAAAAGCCCAGATGAGGCAAGACCACAAGGAGACAGACTATCAGTGTGTAGATCAGTGCTGCTGAAGTTACTCTGCTTTTCACAATGCAAAAGACAAAGCCCTTCATGCCTTGCTGTGTATGGCTGCCTCTGTCTTAGCAAGGCAGGACCAAAACCCTTAGTGACCAGGGGACTTTACTGCATGCTTCAATGTCTCTGCCAGCTGCTGACATGGGCTTAGGGCAGCACACCCAAGAGCACTGTTAGTGCACTGGCAGCTCCTTGGCTACTAAGCTGTGTATCTGTCAGAGCTGTCTCCTGCAAGCTAGTGATCCACAGAGTAGGAGCAGTGTCACCATCACTGCCTTTGGGAGGAAGCGGTTGCAACCACTATGTTTTTCTGGGGAGCACAGAGGTGCAAGAGGCTGTTCCCAACCTCCTCTATCATCTCAGACACTACAGGCAGGGTGATAGTCTATGCCTATAGGCTACACAGTCCTGCTTTGGAGATCCTGATGTGGCCTGATCATGGCTGGATATGATCCAGAGAGGCTGAGCTATGTCAGGATGGAGGAATACTGCTTGCTAGAAAGCAGAATTTGCAATGCAGGGAGTTCTTGAAGGAAGAAATTAGTCTTGGAGATGCTTGGAGATTGGGCATGTTAGGTTCAAGACCCAGCTGAACACAGGCTGAAGGAAATACCATAACTCAAGAAAAGCAGCAGTGTTCCCTGCATCCTTGACCCCTAGTGAAGGCAACGGATGCTGAGCAAGTAAATACAGTGCCTTAATAGGAACCATTCCTATTCGCTGACTGAAGAAATGCAGCTAAAAGCAACATTTTTCAGGTATGGTTGAAGAACAGCCTTTTGGTGGGTTGTTCCTCACCTTGAACCAAGCGTTGGCTTCTCTTAAGAGCTAACGTCTTCCCCACAACGTGTTCTGTCAAACACATCACTTGGAAAAGAAGGTGACAATGCATTTTTTTACAGTTTGTTGATGTTTAAACAAGACAATTAGTCTGATGGTTGAAGTCTGTTCTGTGCCACGCAGCAAAGCTAGTGAAGGACTCGTGCAGAGGGTTATTTGGCAGCCAGTTCTGTCATTCTTTTGACTACAAATGCCTACATTTGATTGGAAATGCATTACTAAATTAAAAGCTATACAGCAGAGATCCACTGAGTATTTGAAGGATGCCTGTCTTACATTGATCAGAAGTAGAAAAGTTTGGACTTCTGAAATCTCTCCTGTTCCATAGCAGGGTGGTCAGGTCACTTCTTTGTGAACAATTCTACTTTATTTTCCATCCACACCATGTCTAATGGACAAGCAGGATTTTGTGTCAAAGTATCTGTTCTTGCCTCTTAACAGCCTTTCTACCAGAACCATGGCACAGGATTTTCCCAGTGCAGTTGTACCACCATAAGCATGGGGCTCTGTGCAATCAATACCCACATCACCTATCCTTCCCTCCCAACCCGAGCTGCCCTGGTGAAGTGATCTGAAGGCATGTAGAGGTTTCAGATGCTGATCTGCAACAGTCAGAGAAGCTATGCATACATCGGAGAATGTGGGATCTCCTTCTCTATTAACTTTGGCCTCCAGCTGGCTGCTGAAGTGCAAATTACAAGCAAGGGAGAGCTGTGGCAAAGAAGTGTTTCAGTCTAAAATGTTTTTGAAGGATGACTTTTAATGCAGTGCTGTAAGGCTTAATGCTTTTACTCTGGCTCCTGAGCTACATTTAATGGAGCAGCTCTGATTGCAGCCAGCAGACGGAAGTGATGATGCACCCTGTACTCACTGGTGCATCACAGCCACCCATCTGACAGTGAGCACTGCCAGCACCATGCGAGTGGCTCACAGCACAGCTCAGCCCACATGGAATGTGGCAGTGCTTGAAACAGGGCATCAAGAAGTGAAGTAAAGCTGCTTTTGTGGGCAAACCATTGCAGATTCTGACTGAGGACCCCAAACTTGTATTGGAAGAGAGATTCTATCTCTGCAAGACAGCATCTGTCAAAGTGGTAAATGCTCCATCCCTGGCAGTGTTCAAGGCCAGCTTGGACAAAGCCTTGGGTGATACAGTCTAGTGTGAGGTGTCCCAGCCCAGGGCAGGGGGTTGGAACTAGGTGATCTTAAGGTCCTTTCCAACCCAAACCATTCTATGAAACAGTGAGCAACATAAATCACAGCAGAGCTGTTAATGTTATGAACTCACTTAAAGGATGTGGCTTTAATTGGTTATTGTACATGATAAATCAATGGATGGATGCATTGTCCCCTAGAAATTTTAAACAATGAAAATCTGTAATAAAAAGAAACCTCAGGGATGACCAGAGGCTGTCTGCTTGGTCAGTTTCTGAGGGGAAAGATCCTGGCAACAGAAGTGTGTTCTTCAGGGCTGAAACAAAATCAGCAGGATGCTTTATTATAATAGAGAGGTTTCTTCTGGGAAGACTGCATGTCCTGGCCAATATCATTAAAATTGTTGGGGCAGCTGCTATAAAACACTCTGACATCTAGTGGATCCTGGGACCTGAGGTGCAGAGCAATGTCAGACTTTGCAGATTGATGTGTCCTGGATTAACTATAAGGTGGCAGAGACCCAGGGAGGAATGGAATAGTTACTCAGATTCTGTGCAGAAGAGACAGTCTTCTGGAGAACACAGTGATGGTTGTTACCTCTGAAAGAGGTCCAGATCCTACCAAAGAAACTCAATTTTAAGGAGAATTAGGCCAAGAAAAGTGATCGCTAAATAGTATTCTTTTGCTGTGTTACTTCTGTCCACCAGTTATTCTATGGAACAACATTACAACAACCTGTACCAGAAACTTAGCTTCAAACCACGCAGACCTAGGCTGTGCTAGAAGTGCTCAGCTTCCAAATTAACACATACAATGCTTAGGTGAAATGTTAAGGACAACTCTGAATAAGCCATTATTTGCAGAGTATTCCATGAGCAATGAACGTAGTATAATGTATACCCGTGGGAAAGTCTGCAACAGTCTCCCATAAAATCAGTAGAAAACCAAAGAGCAGAAATTCTGAGAATAAATTTCAGGTTATGACTCATAAAACGCTGAAGTTATAAGGAAAATATGTGATTGGGCTTATTCCCATTAGAAAAGAGGTAACGTATACAGGATTTTCACACTGAGAAATTTATTAGCCTTTATTGAAGGTGTGTGCTCCATGTTAGACAGGAATTGTGGACTTAAAAGCTGAAGTTCTAGGAATAAGGAAAGGCAGATACGACATACAGCTATGCGTGTGCTACACTATATTTTAATATTTCAATATGATTAAAAGTAGATTTATAAGGAAAGAAAACAAAACATTCAAGATTTACCTAAATCTCCATCACAAGCATGAATTTCTTTCATTGACAGTTAATGGGATTAAGGTTCTTAAAAATGAGGCACAACTGAAAGTAATCCCTTCCAAATCAGGACAAAGACTTGTGGAATAAATGGGAAATTTGAGCAGAAAA